AACACCATACTCAACACTGGCGACGAGGATGGGATCCGCGATTCCCGCAGGGCCTGGAATGAGAAGAGATAGCCAGTCGCAGCGCAACACCAGAGGCTACCTGATTAAACTACAGTTGGAAGGGCTCGTGAAGGACCGCCGGACCCCACGGCCAGCATGCGCCCAGCTGAAGCAGTTACCAGCACTCGAGAGGCTTCAATCTGCAAAAGCCAGCTGGAACTGTCTGGGCCCGAGGTCGTTGGGCTTCCCGTGCACCTCACGGAGCAAGCCAGCTGTTCCGATCGCCCAAGTTGCGTCGCGATCCAGAAACTTAGCCTGCCTGCGGAAGCTGCCTGCCAGCCAACCATTAAAGCCTCGTTGCCTACAAAAAGAACTGCCTGACCCGGAGAGAGAGAGAGAGAAAGAAGGAGGACTGCCATCCGTCTCCTGCCTTGCTTCCTCGGCCTCCCGTCGTCTCTCCGCCCTCCCAGAAGGGCCCCGATGTCTCCGCGGCCTCCGCGCCAGCCTCCTCGGCCTCCCGACGCTCACCGCCTCACCGCTCGTCCCAGAAGGGCCCCGATGCCTCCGCGATCTCCGCGCCTGCCTCCACGGCCTCCCCGAGCCTTGCCGCTGTGCCTCTCCTCCGGCCAAAGCCTCCCGATGCTGGGAGGGAATCTGTCATTCCCTCTTGTGCTGCCTGCTAGCTCCGTTCTCTGCCTTGAGGGAAAGCCGCCCTCCCTGGCCTTCCTGCGAGCCTGCTTCCCAGCGGGGAGCCAAGGAGCCTCTCTCCACGCTCCTCCAAGACCTCCACACACACCGGCCAACTCAGCTGTCTCCTGAGCCGCTCTCAACGCTCCGCAACGACCTCCGCGCTGCCTGCCAGCCCACCGACCTCCGCGCATCGCCCTGCCTCTGCTCCCCGCTCACTGACCTCCTGAAGCCATCCACGAGCCGCCTCCAGGGCCGGTCGTCGCTTCAGAGGTTGCCTCCGAGCCCAGGACCAGGAGAATTCAAAGGGGTTGTTTGGGCATGCGCAGAACGGGAGGGGGAAAAATAAAAGAAAGAAATGTGGAAAAATGAACTGGGGGACAGGAGAAGTGAAATTGAGAGACTTGTAAAAAGGAGTTAATGTAAAATGTGTACTTAGCTGGAGGGAAAGGGAAGGAGTGAAATGTGATTTGAGAAACTTGGAAAAACATTGAGCTAATAAAAAAATAAAGTGTGCTTAGCTGGTGGAAGAAAGGTAATGAGAAGTTACTAAATTAACTGGAGGGAAAGGGAGAAATGTCAAAGGGGAGAAATTTGAAAATTGCGCTAACAATGAATTCATTGCTCATTCATCATTGTGGTTTCTTCGAATGTCGGAGCAGTGAATCACACACACATGTATCAAGTAAACCACACACACATGTAGTTGTACATTCAAGGAACTGCTGTTGGATTTTGAATTAATAAAATGGGGGAACTGTGTAATGAATTAATAAAATGGGCACTTAACCTGGGGAAAATGTAAATGGAAATTTTACAATGTTCTTGAATTTTCAAAGTTGCTAGTTAGGATTTTTTGGGTCCACCCCCCTCCCCATCAACAGATCTGGGGGAAAGGGGTGTTGTGTATTGTGTTACATAAAAAAAGGGCCAGCAACCACTCTGCTGAGCCCTGATTGGCCAGGAGGGCATTGGAGGCTGTTGCTAGCCTNATAATAATAATAGCCTTTATTGTCATTGTACATCATATATACAATGAAATTGGTTTAGCCTCTACTGGTGCAATCCATAACAGAAAATACAAGACATCTCTTCTGGGAAAGGTCCTTGAAAAGCAGTTCATTTGTGAGTAGGATGGGTGTATTACAATTAAGAGGAGACAGCATGAGATTGTCACAAACAATTCATGTCTGCTGAAACTTATCTTTTTATCTGATGGACTTGTCAATTTAATAGACTGGGGAAGTAGTATAATGTCAAATAAATCAAATGTTAGATTTAGCCTGCAGTAAATTAAATCATGCTATCCCAAACAGACAGGAATGCTTGAGGCAATATAATAGGAAAGATCATAGGAAAAGAATGAGTCCTGAGATCATTTTGAAGATGAGCAGGGGATTGAAAGAAGGTGGCATCATCCATTTATGCCTCCAGAAATACTTGTCTGCCCATTCTTTTGATGGGGCAACCTAGCAGCCCAAGTAAATCCTTAATCATATTTAAGTGTGGAATGTTTTTGCTACTGTCTGCAAGAAAACTTTCAGGTGTTAAACTCTAGTTAAATAGGTGTTTAATGCCTTTCACTAGGAAAAAACTATAGAAATGCCCATGCTTATTTCTTTTCTTGGCTGAAATGTCAGAGATTCCTCTGATCAAATCTGATTAAACAGCTTCTTTCCACATGATGATCATGTCAGTTTACAAAGTCCCGTTGTGTAATCCAATATTAATCAAAACAATGTTTGTTTTGCCCTCCCAGAAAAAGCAGTTCCACCCTTCCACACAGTCTTGCAACACACTCCACGCATATCCATTGCAGTACTCTATTTCAAAGCAATTCCTTCAAAGCAACTTATGTAAGCCTGTAAAATTGAAGAAGATTTGAAGGGAACTTCTGAAATGAGGTAAGATTGTGACAATCTGTCAGTCTTCGGCTAAAAACATTCCAAAGTAGGGAAGTGTGTATAATGAGAATAAATAAAATGTTGCTGCTGAATGTAACTAGGGATTGATTTGTCACTAAAATCCTTTTCTGTTGCTTTCTAGAATTATATAATACAGGGAGGATTAATCTTGCCAGTTGACCAGAATAACTATAATTTGCCTTTACAGCAGTTTTGAATATGGAAAGTAATCTTGCATGTGTTTCTGGTGATATACTGTATATTTTGTGGTGATGCTATATGTGTTGTCAATCATTAATTTCAGCACATGTTCACATTTGTTCTGCTTAGTTTCAGGCTTTTCTTATTTTCATACTATACTCAACTAATTCTTACAATGAAGTTTATAATGATTTTCCAGACAGGAGGATACGGAGCCTGAAACTAATTAGGGCTAAGAACATGACCAAACTAACTTAGCTGGTTTTCACGCCGAAAAGGGGACTAAAACCAGGGTTTCCCCCTCATTTTGCAGCTCATTAAACGACCTCACATGTTGGCTGTCCACAAATTTCTGTACATGAAACCAATAAAGGCTTTAACTAAATATATTAGGCTGCAAAAGGCTCAGTAGCTTAAATTTGTATCCAGAGGAGGTAGCTATTGAGGTCCCCAAAAGAAATTCTGTGGAAACTCTAATGTCTGTATGTGAACTGGCTCTCTACTTCTTTGCAAATTATTCACTTTTCACATCCTAGGAGAAGTCTGGTACTTTGACCTACCAAACCTTTTAAGGATAATTTTTGAATCCAGATTTAATTCTTAGGAGTTGCTTGCTCAGAGGTGAAGATTTAAGCTAAGTAAAAGGTAAGCAACCAATTAAAAATCATGACTCTTTCTCTTGAAGTTCTTATAATCTCTACCACACTTTTTAACGGATGGACAAATAATTGATATTTTAAACCGGTTTGTAATATTTTCATGAGAATTTGTCAATACAATAAAAATATAAAAATTAAAGGAAAAAAGAAAAGAAAAAAAGCATAGAATTATGACTTCCACCTTTCTGTTAAGTAATTGCCTCTTACTCTTTCCCCTTCCTCGTCAGCCCTTTTTAATCCGCAAATCCATAAATCACCAGTTCAGTTTTTTTTTTCTTTCAGCAAAACTTCTCTATAAAGTTTCTAATCCTTTAAAAGTCTCTATTGTATTTTCCCTGATCAAATTAGTCAGCTTTGCCTTTCTGCAAGCTTCATTCATTTTATAAGACAATCTTCTAGTCTGGACAATTTATTATTTCCCCAACTTTGTTGCCACAGTTGCTACATACAGTACTACTTTCTCATATTTCTTTTCCATCTTAACAAATGTTTTAATTAAGAAAATAATTTGACACTACATACAATAAGTATCCTTATTTCTGTACCTTGCATGGACATAATAAAACCAGAGGGAAGGGTACAGTGGTGGGTTTCAAAAATTTTTCGAACCTACTCTGTGGGTGTGGCCTCCTTT